TGATCTTCTTATTTTATTTACTGTATATCTGCACGTTTGCATAAAATGTTTTCTCTGCGAGCCAGTGATTATCACTGGTAAGGTTCACATTTGTTGGAGATAGCTGGAATTTCTCCCCCATTTTCTCTTTGAATGTGCAAAATTATTTTCCCTGCCATTGGATTGGCGTCAGCTGACATAGTTAATCTTCTAATCTTCTCTCTGGGGTGACATCAGAGGAGATGATGGAGATGTTTCCTTTCTTGAATACAAGGCTCAGGTTCAATTGTGACTAGTGAAAATCCTGTTAATAAAAAAATACAGATTAATGCAAAAGGATGATATACCTAGTTATTTAGGGGGGCTGCTATTACTTTTGTATTTGTTGTTTCCTAGAGGACCGTTTTAGCTGGCAGCTGTATCTTGCCTTTTTTTCCTCACTTTCCCTTCATTGGGTGCACCCAGACGAGGTCCTGTCAGTGCACCAGCTTCTCTTCTGATTGCGTTATTACACTACCTGTCCATCAAGTTGAAATGTGAACAGAATGTGTCAGAAAACAATGATGAAATAAAATCCTGATTATTATTATTATTGGGACTTGATGGGCGCTTGACTTCTAGTCCGAGCCTGGTGGCTTTCCTCAGGGCAGGCTCCTGCTGATTGCCGTGCAGAGGTTCAGGCCTGTCTGACCAGCGGCTCTGGAGACATTTCTCTGCTGCATATGCACGTGGCACAGCATCCCACGGACCCTGGATTTGGCTGGCTGGTCCCATAGGTATGGCCAGGACCGCACTGAGACCCTGCCAGTGACTCAGGAGATGTGGGGCTGGCAGTGGGGCGGGTGGTGGCTGGCCAGCGTGGTCCCCTCTTGCTTCTCTGCACTTTACCTCGGTGCAATTCAAAAGCTGTGGTTAGTTTCACCCCTTACGCTAGAGGACAGAAAGGCCCATGCTCTCCCCACTAGCCACAGGGCTTTTCAAGGGGGGAAAACCAGTCTTTGCTAACAAATTCCTAACCACGACTCCCAGGGAAAACAACACGAGGAGCAAAAGACTTAACACACGAGCTGAATTTGTTCAGCTCGCCTGTCTGTGCTGGCAGGAATGTTTAGCTTGTCTGAGCGTGGGTCGTGCACCGGAACCGTCCCAGTGCCCGGGGACCGTCCCCGCCTGCAGGACTGCGTTTCGGGCTCTTCAGTGCTGTCAGAGAAGGTCACCCACGTCCCAATGCCAACCTGCTTGTATCAGCCTGCAGCTTCTCTTCTATCCCTACCCCTCCCCTCCCCCTGCCCCGGCCTTGAATCCTCCCGTACCCAACAGGCAGAAATCTCTTCACACGGCAAGAAAAAACCCAAGGGAATTTGCATAAATTAGAAGGGAGAAGCGCGTTTCGGCCATTCTCTATTTAAACTGCGTGGAAATCGTGCTGATGGGAGATATGAATGCCTGCCAAAGCGGGCAGTAAGGCGCTCGCTTCAATCTCATGGAAAATTGCAGATTTAATAATCAGATCTGACTTGGTTAGCGAAAGAAATCGTTCTCACTTCTCGTGATTTCCCTCTGCCAGGAGAGAGAAAGGCAGAGGGAAGGAGAAAAATCCGTCCATGCTCCTACAGCAGTGATGAGCTTAGCAAAGCCCAGTAATGTTAGCAGGTGGCCAGCGTCTGGCAGGGCCTGAGATCCCACAGTGAGAAGGGCAGCTCCCTCCTTTTCCTACAAGGTTTGGACGAGACTGGCTCCAGCCGTGGCTGAGTGAGAGGCGAGTCAGCAATAGCAAAAGCCCTGGTCCAGCTGGGAGCTTTTGGGTGGATCTGGCTCTTTGCACAGTCAGATGGCTGAGCCTGTCAGGTTGTGGGGAAAATTATGACCCCACATGGGATTTTTCAAGGCAATTAGGCACTACTTAGATCAGGAGCATAATGGGATGTGTAAACATCTAGGTTAGAAACTAAGTCCCACTACATGTCTTACTCCTGTGGGTGACAGATAGTATTTGGGCACTAAGGTGTACTTGTACCGTTGTAGGTGCCCTGCACCCAGGTTTCCCCACATATGTCCTCTTTCCCCAGCCATATCAGCTCAGCTCCAGGTTCTCAGTATATCAAAAGCCCTAGGTAGTGCTAGTATTTCAGGATGCATCAGGGCGATGCAACTGTCTTCCACATGAGACCAAATAAGTCCAGGCAAACCTTTAGGAAATACTCCAGTGACTTCCTTCCATACATTACATTTACCATCCCACTCATGGTATTTGTCATGGATTTTATGCAGAGGACTATCTGTCGGGCAGTAGTATGAAGCAGACAGATTCATGACCGGTTCTCACTGTGTGTTGAGGAATAAGCATCCTTCAGGTTCCTTGGAAAGCCCAAGTGAGAGCAGTTATTGACAGATATTTAGCACATTTCCCACATTAGCTTAATACCTCCTAAAATAATACGTGCTTTACTTCTCACCTTTTATTGTTTAGTTCAATTTTTGGCTTTTGCGTTTTTTGCCATGACAGTCACCAGACTTATTCATAAATTCCCAAAACTTTCTCCTTTCAGACTTAAATTTTCCAGGCTTGGCCTTTCTGCAGAAGCAAGCATGGCTCTTTTCAGACTAAGAAACAGGGGAAGTTAAAAGAAATGCTCAGTTCTACTCCGAAAAAAAAAAGTCTTATAACCTCTCAAAAACCAACATTATAACTAAAATATTCAGGGATCAAAGCTAATTTTTTAATTGGAGTGGTTCTCATCAAAGGAAGGTGTTTGTGAGTATCACTGTAAGAATTAGATCTGATCTGTTCAACTTTTCATCCCGTGGATAACTTCATGCTTTAGTGTTTCACTGAAGAGCTCTCCCAAGGCCAAATCCTAATAATGGCTCTGGCAGACAAGCTCTTGCCAACTTTGCTGTAATAGTTTAAGATGTATTTGTCCTCCCCCCTCAAGCTTCTCTGCTGGCTTCTCTTCCCCTCTTCCAGAAGATGTTGACCGCCTGTAGCAGACTTGGCCAAGGACGACGTAACGGGGGTGATGGAGGCATAGGTTCCTTAAATTGCTCTTGAAGATGAGTTAGAGCTAAGACACCAGTCTGTGATTTGGTGTGCCTTCAGCGCAGGCAGTTGTCCAGCTCTGCTGGAGGGCTCTAACCTTCAACGGAGGAGCACCAGCACACAGCTGTGAGAGGTAACTTCAAAATCAGCTGCAGCTGTTTGCTTCGTGAATACAAGTCAGAATGGTGAGCCCTTGATCCTGCAAATACTTACGCATGTGTTTAACTTTATAACTGTGAGTAGTTCCAGGAACTTCAGTGGGGCTTGAATTTAAATTGGCACGTAAATGCTTGCAGAACTGGGAGCCTGCATTTGCACAGGGTCAAGCTAAGAAAGCTTCAATTCACACACGTTGGAGCAATGTGTTTCTGCAGTGAAATTGCACTGGAAGAAAAGTCCTCCGGTCTGGTTTAAGCCTTCTTCCTTTCCCAGATGCATACTAAGATTAAGACCAGACATCTCCATGCCTCCCTATCTTCCAGAATAGCTAGAGACCTCTCCTTGAGTCTGTGGGTGGCAGCAGGATGGCAAGGCTAAGCACGATGCCCTGCACTTCTCCTCCTCTTACAGCCTCTTTGGTGAAGAGCACAGCCTGAGGCTCTGTTTCTCCCCAGAGCCGCCATCCGGATCAGCCTTATGCCAGTGAATATCCCTGTGCTGTTGCATGAGCAGACCTAGAAGCAGCCACCGACAAGGGCTGTCCCTGACAGAATGATGCCAATAGATCTTCAGGCTGGCAAACCCCAGTGGCCATGGGACACCCCTGGCCCCACTCGCCCAACTCCACGCAGGCAACCCGAGGGGTGGTTTTGGGAACATGTAACTATCTACATTTGCAGCTATTTTAGCTTCTTAGTCACTGGCCTGACATCCTGAATTGAATCCATGGCTGGCTATGCTGCTGAGTAACCAGCAGAGTATTACAAGGCTTCTCTTCAGAGAGAAAGCAGGTAGAGCCAGCAGTGTCAGCCTTTGGGTGCTTAGACTGAAGCATCTAAGAAGTAAAACTAGCCCAAATTTTTCAGCGCACTGAGCTCCTAGTATACGTTATGTAAATTAAGCCTTTTTTTCTTCAAGGCACTTTGAAGAAAGGTGACCCCTGGGGCTCCAATGGCTCATTTCCCTGAGGGGCTGGGGCTGGCCACAGGGTCTGGAAGTGCTTCCCAGAGCCCCCCAGTAGAGCCCCCCTTGCCTCTCTCTCCTCCCAGCCCTCACACTGGCTCTGGGTCTGAAACCCCGACATTTGTGAAGGGCTCAGATACTAAAGGTCTGTGTCAGGTAAAGCCCAGACTGTCCCTGACTGTTCCCAGGAGAAAAAACAGCAGCAAACCAGCCCTCGGGTGCTGAGGGCACCTGCCAGGTCCCACACATCTCTGCCAAGCCTACCATGGCTCTAATGCTGCCAGAGCCTTTGCTTGCGCTTCATTAAGGTGCCTCATGAACACAGCAGTGTGCAGGGGTACTCTCTACTGATTGGACCCGTCTGGAAATCTCATACCAAGCAAATCCCACATAAACATCTCCAAAGATTAAAGAAATAAGTTGTAGGAGCAAAATGCTTCACTAAGGCAGCATTAAAGCAGCATATTTTAAGCAAGAAAAAGTCATGAAGTTACAGAGAAATCTGCACTCACAATAATATATACCATGAAGCAGCATTTAGTAACAGTGCTGCAAAAACTATGTCTCAGATATTACAGTATAAACAGAAGACCATTTTTTTTCCCTTCCCCCTTAAACAGACGCACCCTGACTCCTGCCCCCTTTTCAGCAGCGAGCATTTCTGCTGGGACCCTTATTTAACCTGCAGACGGAGAAGGTACAGAGCAAGATGTCAGAGCATATCCCCCAGCCCACCATCTCTCCCCCAGCCCCCCCGGGAAGCAGGAGTGCCCCGGCGGTGCGGCTCCCACCACCAACCCCACCGCACAGCAATTAGCCCCGTTCTCCAGCGCAGATTTGCGGCTTAGCTCTTAAAAGCCGTTTCATAAATATTCGATGGCCTTTCCGACAGGGTAATGTGCCTCTGTGACATTAAAGAGGAAACTCTGCGAAGGGGAGGGATGACAACAAATTTATCCACCAATAGCACACTCTTTTGGCACAAAAGCACATTCTTATCTTTACATCCCATAATGAGAAGGCAGGGAAGGGACTGTTGCTACAGCTCTCTGGGTGGGTAGATGTACAGTGTAAGAGAAGGGTGGCTGTAAAGTGTTAGATTTTTTCCCCCCCCGCCTTTGCAAGCAGAAGGACCCGTGCTTGCGTTCCTGCTGTGGTTTTCCTAAGCCCCTGGTGAGGAGGACTTCTCGCACGATGTCAGACTGCGAGGGACTGCCTGTGGGTAAGCGCCAGATTTATATTTACCCCGGTGTCCTGCCGACTAGCTCACATTCTCAGATTGCAAAGTCATACGTGAAGCTGCTTGCTTTCGAAGGGAGCCAGAGCCGTGGCAGGCAGAGGAGAAACTCCCTGCAACCACCATGGATCCCGGTGCGGTTCCTTACGAGCCCGTGGCGGAGGGCTGGCGCGGGTGGTATCGCCTGGATTTTCTCTAAAGGCACAGGGGCTGGATAGGAGGAAGGGTTCGGTAACTCAGGCAGATGGTCTGAAGTGTCTGTGTCCGGAGAAATGATGGTATTGACATGTGTAGTCTTGAGCTCGGGAAGGAGAGTTTCTGGGGATGGGATACGCAGGACCAGGCGCGCTGTGTACATCTTGTGTTCATGCCTTGATAAACCTTCCCGAACGGTAACGGACGCAGCAAGGGCAGATAAATGTAATGCGAAGGGTGTATTTGCTGAAAGGAAATAGAAGCGTACCTTATTTTCAAAATAAGTGCCTTACGTGTTTTGCCTATATCTGGAAAGGGGTCCTTTACTAGCACTTATGGCTGTATATGTCAAACTTCACCAAGCAGGAGAGCACGTCAGCAAGAAGCGTGTTTCTCAGCTGTTTTTTCTAACTTCTATAGGAATTGTAAACACTCTCTAGACTGTCTGCACGAAAGGAAACTCTTGTCAAAATGCTAGAGTAATTCTCTGCCAAGGCATTTTACTAATAAAGAGATGGGCCATTAAAACCATCTCTTTTTTTCCTTTTTTCCTTTTGCCATGGCAAGCATTTCTCTTTTCACATCTGTATATATACATATATATGTACACATACTATGTAGCACTTGTGTTTCACTGTGAAGCCTGTGAAGGCTGTGTGTAAGAGATGAGGATCTGGACTAAAAAGTGGGGCTGGAGAAGGAGAAGGCTGCTGCAGTGCTTTTTTTCTTTTCCTCCTCTTTCTGCTTCCATCTTACAAAAACAATCCCAAAAATGCACACTCAAAACCGGAGTGGAAAAATATAAATTATGTATATGGTGCAGAGTGAGCTGCGCCTTGCGCAATTCCCTGTGCCATTGCATAGTTGCTATCATTGTCTAAAGAGAGGAGAGATGAGGATGAATATTTCTTGCTTACCTTCTCAAAGGGCTGATCTGTTAACCAGCAAAGCTTCCCTTCTTCAGCTTTTGATTTTAACGGCCTGGCCTCGGTTTGCTTGTTAAGCATTCTGAGTTGAGGGTGGGATATTTCAGGGTGACAGTGACAGTATTTAGCTGGCATCTGATATTAATGATGAAACTGATATTGAGCATGCATGGCACGTTGTGTGCAGAAGTTACTGATATCTCAATTACCTTTGCTGCTGAAAGGATCTAGGAGGTTTCCTCCAGAAAAGTGTTCGTAGATGCATGATTTGAGGGAAGGAAGCAGTTTGTTATGGGCAGGAATGAAAAGTAAAGATAAAGTGATGTTTAGATGTGGATGTGGATCGGAAACGTGCCAGCATATGCAGAGGAAAGGTTCGTTTCTCTCTGCTCCCCCGGTAATCCTCCCACGTCCCGCAGCCGGAGCTGGCCCTGCCTCCAGCCCAGCTCCCTGGCAGCAGGGCTCACCCTGCCTCCCACCACCCTGCCCTGCGCCGGCCACCGTAACCGGTCACAGCCAACTGGTCACCCGCTGCACGGACCTTGCAGAATTTTCTGGTTCATGTATGTATAGATGTGTGCGTGCCTATATGCATACACACAAAACCAGCACTGGAGATAGATATGGTGGCACTCCTGTGCAGTTATTAAGCAATTTTAGTGAACCAGTTGCTGGCAGCTTGCTTTTCACGTCAAGGTATTTTGAAATCAAATCATTTTCTTTGTGGTTATTGCTCTTTTTCTACCTAGTTCAGAGTTTAAAACTTTAGCAGTAAAAGCTCCATAAAAAGGGTTGCAAAAAACTGCATCGAACTTTCCGAAATAGCGATTAGTATCCACTAGTGCAGAAATACCACTTTGCTGAATCCAATCAGCATAGCAAGGCTGGCTTGTACTTTTAAAATCCTTGAGTTTGAATGCGGACAGATAATATATTTGCAAAAAGTTGTTGCAGTGACAGATATCATTAGCACTGCAATGTGGCTAGAATCCAGAGCCCTGCTTATAACACAAACCGTACGGACGTATGCATGCGTCTGTGTATACCCATGCACAGAGCTATAAATAAGTTTAGCCAAAGCACAATATTAGTGTCAAGTGTACGTACTGCTTCACCACCAACGTCGTTGCAAAGGGTATGCCTCGTGAACAACCTGGAGAACCGCAGCTTGTAGTTACAGTAAATTAATGCCAGAATTTTTAGCCTGCTTTCAGCCTACACAAGAATGTAGCAAGAACAGCTGCGTAATTGTTCCCTTGGACAAGCAACCCAGAGGGAACTGCTGAAGACAATCTTTGAATTAAATAGCTGGATATGAATGGGTCGATATATCAATAATTTTTCAACAAGAAGTTTTATTCAGTAAGAGTATCCCACTTTTATGCTGGAAATGGTTATGCAATTTTTCAGGATGAAAGCATTGGGTTTTTTTAAATCTCTGTTTTGTGTTCAATTCCAGTGTGGCTGCACCCTTCTGCTGATGTGGAATGGAAAATTAAACATGTGATGCAAACAAAGTTTTATTTTGTCTTTTGAATGTAGCACAGAAGACATAAAAAAAGGATCCTGGCTGTCAGATTGCAGATTAAATGTTAGCAAGTGTACAGTCATTTTGGACTGAATTAATACCAAAAAAGGCACTTGAAAGCATTGCTATCAAAATGATCTATTAGTGAACAGAATTCTAAAATTTACACTATTAATTTCCCATTGTAACACGGGGAGCTAAAGAAGAAAGAAAGATCAGTCACTTCAGGACAAATGCACTCCTATTTCTTTCTCATTAGCAATTATTGACATACTGATGCTATCCATTAGTGCCAGCTACATAGATTCCCTGTCATTCCTACATGCAGATAAAAGCAAAGCACATCAATTATTTAAGTGCTTCCTCTTGTGTGCATTATTTTTCTCTTGTAAGGAGACGTAGTTCAGTCTCCATACGACTGGGCAGCTTTTCACGCACCCAGCATTTTGATTAGGAATATATGAGTCATGATGGTTCTGGTTCTTAACACAATCCTTTTGACTTCAGAAAAAAACTCTGGAGTCACGCAAAGGTTCTTAAAGTGCCTCTTTCCTTATTTTCTTATTTCTTAGTTCAGCCACAGACTGACTTTGAATGGCACGGGTAACTTTTTGTGGATAACATCACCATTGCAATGATACAAGGTATTCAGCCGTAACAGATGAAGATTATATTGCTGAAGAGGGAGTAGCTATTCAGACGCTGGGAGTCTCATATGTACATACTTTCTCTGTTATTTACTAAAACAGGACTAAGAAGGGAAGAAACAGAATTGATTTAGCTTGTTCTGCAGCAGGTGGCATGCGAATCTAACTGAATTTCCTCTAAAATTCCTCCCAAACTTTTATTGGCCTCGTTTCAGTAGAGGAGGAAACAAGACCTTTCATCTGAAGTATGTTCCTGACTCTTTAGCTAAATACTTCCTTTCAAAGCTAAAATTACACATTTCAAACATGTTTTTAAGACAGACTGGAGCCAATTTGCTAAAATTGGTGCTTTCAGAATCAGGATATCCCAGAAACCTACAGGAATTTAGATTTCCTGAAATTCAACACATATTCTGCACTATCACGGGGAGTCCATTTAGCTCAGCCAGAGAGGCTGCTAGGGAGCAAGACCTCCATCTCCCAGCCTGGGCTGTCTCTAAACAGCCGCTGGGAATAAAATATGGCACAAGTATATTTTTGTAACAAAAAATCATTAGGAATGACTCAGCACATGCATGAGCGGTACTCCTGTCAAATAAAATTGCCCCACTTTCATGTACTCAGAATAGGACTATGCTTTAAATTAATCTTTCATCAGGTTTGGTAAAAAATGTCTAGAGTCTTGCAGATAACTCTGTGGCCCCCTCCAACTTAGGGCTGGAGCACCAGTTCTGCTTTGCAATCTAAACCTTAGATAAAAGGCCTTGACTCGGACACTAATGTTGCCATGTGAGTGGTCCCACTGAATACTACTGTTTGCAGGGTGAGATCCGAAGTGAAAGGCCACACACTGAAATCACCTTGCAGAATTGCTGTGCAGACTGTGTTTAGTGCTCTGGGATAAGGAGAGAAGCGGCAAGGTTTTTTTCAGCATATCAACCCAGCTACCTGCTGCAGGTTAGAAAGGTAATGGCATGTCTTAAGCATCTCAAGAGAGTGGTCTGCAGGATGAATGACGGCTCCTGATCCCACTTAAACCACCAGCACTGGCTTGCACGCTTGGAGCTCCCTGGGAACATCCCTGGGCCAGGGGAAGTTGAGGCCAGGGCGCTGGCACTCCCACGCCTGCAGAGCTAGCTTTGCACATTGAGGCACAAGAAATCTTGCAGTCAGTACTCTTAGACACACACAAAAAAACCCCACATATAAAGCTTTCAGCTTTGGGAAAGAAGGGGGTGAAGCCCCAGTGAAGAGTGACTGTGAATGACTACCGCTACAGCACTGTCATTGAAGCTGTGCAGCCTTGCTTAGGTTGCTGGAGTTAGGTGCCACTGTGGAATGCCTGAAGTCTGTCTAGGGATTTCATCTGAAGGTCTACGAGTCCAGCCTTGCTCTTGGCTAACTTGCTACCTGCCACAGCCAAGTCATTTAAAGATGCTCTGCAGTTGCAACAGACATGGCTGAGTCAAACATCTTAGAGAGCGAAGGTAAAAATGTTTGATGGTCAGTATAAATCTTCAAGAAGGAAGCATTTCCGAATGCCAGCATTTATGCCATTTTGTGGGTTGTTCTTTTGCTTCAGCTGCCGATTGATCCAGGCTCACTGGGGAAGACATCATCTCTCTGCACGTGACTTTCCATAGGAGAGCATCCTATCCATGAAGCAGCTTCATCTGGTTTGGCTGAAAT